AATGACACTGTTAATATACAGCTCACATAATGTAAACTGACAAATGGTTGTACTTTTACATTACGTTTGATATAATCTTACATGTGGCCAAAGAGGGAATAACCGATGTGGCCACTATTTGAAAGTTAATTTACAATTTCCCGTAAAAATAATAATTCAAATGGCAATTCTGTTAATATACAGCTCACATAATGTAAACTGACATACGGCTGTATTTCTACATTAAGTTTGATGTAATCTTACAGAAGCTTTGTATATGCATTTACATCGTTTTAAATGTAAATTAACAAACTATGTTATATCACAAATCGGACAGTGTATTTTAAGTATACTTATAACTGTAAATATACATATAATTTTAATAGGGATCTTTTACGCGCACACCAACGTGTACATGGGACCTCAGTGTTTTGTCCCATCCGAACGACTAGACAGCTATCCTTGTCCGGCCCTCTATCAATGTTAAAGTTCTAAAGAGATGTCCGTACAATTACACGTTTCCTGTAATTGTACACAAATCCCGTATTTAAACATGTTTGAATAGTATAATTACCCATAAAAACAGTTAAAGTACAACATACATGTACTTTTAACCAACATATAAGTTCTATCAATACAGATTACATGTACACCAATGTTACCTCACTAATAAAGTAAATTTATAGTAAAAAAACATGCAGTGGTATTTTTACAGCGTTATGTTAAAGAAATTACATATTTTTCACTGTAATTTTACATTTAATTTTTACAGTGCTCTTTTTTTTAGGGTGGCTGAAGAAAATTTCTTCCGGCCGGCACCAAAGCCTTGTAACATCGTTAAACTATCCGGTCGACATTTTCCCAGTAATCATGCCAGCTGTGAACGGCATTTTTTAGGGTGTACACTTAGAAGGGAGCTATGTAGAAAAATAAACGGAAACCATCGACTTTGTACAGATTTTTCACAGAGTCTTATAACTTTTCAGTCAGCCCTCGTATGGCTCTATTTTTTGATTCTTGAAATAAACAAAAATGGCTCTAAAAGCGCATATTCATGTAATATGCATGTATGTAATATGGGTGGTTTATTTTCAGTTTTTGAAAAAAAATATATTATATTTTCTAATCAATTATGTTCGGTGAAAAACGTGATGAGTTCAAATAGAACGACAGTGCATTCTAAACGTTTTTAAAATTCTTATTTTGTCGTTTGTGAATCAGCCTTTACTAATTTCTTCCACATTGTTTTGTAGGATATGTTTTTATTTGTACATTACAAAATGGCACCCGAAAGCATAGGGTACACGACTCGTGTACTGATTATAAAATGCTAATTGTGTCTTAAATATTGGATACTAGCAGGATATCCTGCTTCGCTCGGGGGTCATAACTCCGAAACCGGAAGTGTCAGACTAACGCCACCTGGTCTATGTTACTCCCCGGTCCGAGCTACCCCTATACCCCAAATTTCAGACTCGGGGCAGACCTAGTGTAGCCGCCAACCCCGAACAGACAGACTTCGCTCGGGGGTCATAACTCCGAAACCGGAAGTGGTAGACTAACGCCACCTGGCCTATGTTACTCCCCGGTCCGAGCTACCCCTATACCCCAAATTTCAGACTCGAGCCAGACCTAGTGTAGCCGCCAACCCCGAACAGACCGGCTTCGCTCGGGGGTCATAACTCCGAAACCGGAAGTGGTAGACTAACGCCACCTGGCCCATTTTACTCCCCGGTCCGAGCTACCCCTATACCCCACATTTCAGACTCGGGGCAGATGTAGCCGCCAACCCCGAACAGACAGACTTCGCTCGGGGGTCATAACTCCGAAACCGGAAGTGGTAGACTAACGCCACCTGGCCTATGCTACTCCCCGGTCCGAGATGCCCCTATAGCGCAAATTTTAGACTCGGGGCAGACCTAGTGTAGCCGCCAACCTTGAACAGACCGGTTTCGCTCGGGGGGGTCATAACTCCGAAACCGGAAGTGGTAGACTAACGCCACCTGGCCTATGTTACTCCCCGGTCCGAGCTTACCCTATACCCCAAATTTCAGACTCGGGGCAGACTTAGTGTAGCCGCCAACCCAGAACAGACAAACAGACAGACAGACAAACGACAGTCACAAATATATATTTGATTTTGGGGGCATAATACTAAAATATGCAAATGACTACGAAAAAAGTCACTATAGAACCTAACAGAAGAAACATTTCCAGTTACATGTGACGCCCAAACGCACCAATAGCTACCGCATGGAATGCAGGTGATGCTTGGGATCATCATGGGGGTCCAACCCAAGATTTGCACGACTCTGACTTTGAATGTTACAGTCATTGTGGCATTGAATTCCAGGGTGGAAACATCAGTTTAATTGTTTTAGTGACCAGAAAACAAATTTTGATATGCGTCGGCTTACCCAAAATGAAAGGTTACGTGCCCTTGGCATGCTACAGATCGGCACAACACAGGCGGTTGTGGCGCGGACGATGAATGTTTCTCAGTCTGTCATAAGCAGGCTATGGTCCAGATACCGTGATACACAATCTGTACAGGACAGACCACGCTCAGGTCGACCAAGGGCGACAATTCAAGCCCAGGATCGATTTATCCGTACCTTGGCCTTGAGAAATCGTGTCATCACAGCAAATCAGATCAGCGCTCGTCTTCAAACAGACACTGGTGTGAGAGTGAGTGGCCAGACGATTCGGAATCGACTGCATAGGGGTCACCTTCGCGCCCAACATCCTCGCGTGATCCCTTGTTTGAGAGATCATCACATTCAGGCAATACGTCGTTGGTGTAGGGATCGTCAACACTGGGATAATCGACGCTGGAGCAATGTGATGTTTTCAGATGAGTCAAGGTTCACTGTTGATTTTTTGGACAGACGTAGGAGGGTGTGGCGTCGTCGAAACGAGCGCTTCCAAGACGTTAACGTCATCAGACATGATCGATTTGGGGGTGGTTCTGTTATGGTGTGGGGAGGCATCACTGTTGCTGGAAGAACGGCTTTACATGTTGTTGCAGGGCGTGTTACAGGCCAGTACTACCGGGACAACATCTTGGCAGTCCATGTTGTGCCGTTCGCACGACGTCATGGCCGCCGTTTCATCTTCCAGGATGACAACGCAAGATGTCACAGGGCCAGGATCGTTACAGGTTACCTCCAACAACAGAACATCACCACATTACCTTGGCCAGCACTGAGTCCCGACCTCTCCCCCATCGAGCATGTCTGGGACATGCTTGGACAGAGGATACGTCAACGTTAACAACGTCCTGCCAATGTCCAAGAACTTGCTGCTGCGTTGCAACAGGAATGGGACAATCTGGACCAGAATGACCTTAGACGTCTCATTAGGAGTATGCCACGTCGGATCAATGCTTGTTTGGCAAACAGAGGAGGATTTACCCGTTACTGACTTGGTTGTGATGCTGTGGTAACTTTGCTGTTTGACCCCGGGTATCATTTTACCCTTACAATGGTCAGTCTGTGCCTTACTTAGTCTAACGATCATTTGGAATAAATCGATGAATGTGAACTTCATTTCATTTTGTCATTTGTTTCTTCGTCAGTTTCATTAGGTGACTTTAATAACACTTAAAAATCAAATATCCCCTACTTTTTTTGAATAGTATATATATATAGATTAGGATCCTATAGTTTCACTACACGATAACAACATCAGTATTGACTGAAATTGATTAATATTGAATTCTAATTCTTGTTTTTAATTTCGAATATTATGGAAAATAATATTAGCTCCATTAACTCATATTTATAGCCACCAAATAAATGGTCGTGTTGTATTGTATCATAACTATTTAAACATTAACAAATAGACTGAAAAGGTAAACGACAAACCGCTATTACATCTATATGTAGGGTCAGATCTAAATATTAAGGTCACCTGCAGATTTCGCCAAGGTCACGGGGTGTAAACTTGATTGTTGCCGAGGATTGTGGGTTAGGGCTAGAGCTAGGTCTTGGGTTAGATTTAAGAGTTTGTGGGCGAGGTTTAAGTCTCCACATAAGCACTGGGCTATGGTGATGGAAATCTAGTTCGTGGTATTTTCTATATAGTTTTATAAAAATACATAATATACATTAGATTTATATACAAAGTTGGCTTGTGGGGCTGGTCGTTGTTTTTGGCGGTGTTGGCGCTGATGACGCTGATGGTCTTCTGTGGGTGGAGCTTGTGGTCTGTGGGTGAGGGCTGGTCTTATTTAGTCTGATTTACTGTATACGAGAGAGAGGGAGAGAGAGAGAGAGGGGGAGGGAGAGGGCATACTTTGGATCATTCTCGGAATCCCCAGTTATCTCACTCTGTTCTAATCCACTAACTCCTGGGTTAATCTATGGGGAGAAAGGGGGAGGGGGGCACGTTTTCAAGTTATCTGCAACAATCCCATAAATCGTTAATTTCAAAGGAAGTTTGCAAAGGGGAGTAAATCTCATCGAGTAAAGTAAGCAAAACGCAAAGGCAAATGAAATGAAATGAAATGGGGTTTAACGCCCTACTGTCCTGTTCCTATACTGGGTAAATGAAGACGGGCATACGCCATACAGTGTGCTATGAGGAAAATTTTGCCCGGGCAGCGGCACTATCGCCTACTCGAACTGCCAAGGGATCTTTTACGTGCATTCCAATGTATACACGGGACCTTGGTTTTTCGTCTCATCCGAAGGACTAGATAGTTGTCTTTGTGAGGCCTCCGTTCTGCACCACTGACAAGGGGAAACCACGTCGGAAAATCCAGATGAACTTTCTCGGCCAATGCAGGGATCGAACACCCGAGCTCCAGGCTAGCGAGCCAGCATCTTAACCACCTAGCTACCGTGGCTCAAAAAAACCCAAAAAAAACGCAAAGGCTCCCCTTCACAAGAGACAAGATTAGGAAATAACCAGAAGGTAGCTTACATGAGAGAAGTCCAAATTATACGAAATGCGTATTTCTTAACAACAAATAAATTACAATTATCTGACAGGTGTTTATGTATATTGAGGTTCAAGAGTTTTATTAAGAATCAAATTTCCAAGTTTAAGTTCAATAATAATAATAATAATAAACATAACAGAAAGAAACATTTCAGACAAAGAACGAATAGTGATAATAATAACAAAAGTCAAACATGGATGTTATACATATTTGAAATCAGCGAAACATACTACAGATTTTGATAATACAATTAAATATTGAATTAGAAATATATACATTATTTACATAAATCATTCAGTAAATGGACATGAATATGGTTATCTAACCTTATACACAGAGAGAGAAAAGTGGGTCAGTTGACTCATTTGGGTGAGTATCCATAAAACGACTCACTTTTCGTTGACTAACTTGGGACACACATGGGGCTCATTTTTGTGACTCGCACCCAAAAATCCTTAAAACGACCCGTTAAGTCAATCAAGTGACTCGTCTGGTAAAGTGAGTTTTTTGACTACTTTACTGAGTCATGTGACGCAACAGATGAGTAACGCGCTAACTGCAGTGAGTCAAATGACTAGTAAAGTGAATCAATGCAAATTGATACGAGTCAAATGACTAGCCTACAAAACGAGTCAAATGAATCCACACAAGTCCGAGTCCTATTAAAATTAAATTACAATTTCATTTTCCTTTATTTTTACTGATATTTCTCTCGGCATTGTACAAAGCAGGCTAAAAATATTGGTAGTTACTAAAAACGAATACGATTACACGATTCCAGTATGTAACATTTGCCAACAACTTTATGTCTGAGGTATCAACCTTTGCATCAGTGTGATGATGTGTTCGTCTTTTGAACTAACCAAGTAGTTAGCCGAACAATCAAATAACATAATGTTATATTTCTACGCTTGTATAATCATTATTGTGTCAGTTTAAAAGTTGAATAATATCGAATATTTTTTTAAAAATGAGGCAGTCCATCCAAGTATTTTATTCTACCAACTTAAAATGTTATAAATAAAATACATTTGTATTTAATTCATACAGATATAGTAAATAATCTCTAAGAATCGGTTCAATGTTCCCAAAACACATTGAAAACATTTGAAAGTCTAAAGAAATCATTTGCATTTCCAATTCCATAAATTGTTTATTTATCCATGACATCAATTTCTCTGGTTTCTGCAATGGTACAAAAACAAATTTCCCAGACTAACATAACCATTTCAGTGTTTTATTCATATTTTTAAGTTGCAGCTGATGTTTAAATGGTTTAAATGTCAAATAACATTAACCCACACCTCCGAATTAAGTGAAACTTAAAAGTCTGTTTTACTTACCATTTCTTCTTTTGATAAAGATGAATCTGCTTAGCAAGCCTTGAAAGAAAGAAAAAAAACCCAACACAACTTACAAGTGAATTTCCGAAGCGCTTTATGTGAGATTTGGTATTAGTTAACATACCATAAAAACTTGCAAAACCCTGGCCGTCCATTTAAGATGCATTATGTAGGATTTGGATAAAGAGCTGTCTGTTCTCGCTATAATAGTACAAAAATAGATAATGAAAAATGAAAATATTGAAAATTTCAATCAAATTACTTCATTCTGAGCGAAGTTATGAGTGCTGGAAGATGTAGCGTGTTTTTTTTTATTATCGTAGCAACGGTACTGGACAATTTTTAAATCTCGGGGGCGTTCTAATCCATTTGAATTTCTGCCTTTCGATGTTCTAGAGAGTTGATTATGGGTTTGCCATGTGAATAAATAATAGTTTATATATGATTTAAAGCCAAAATCTGTTAGACGTACGAAAATCCTATCATATTATTGACAAAGTCTAATAAAATAAAATAGTGATCTATTATTGACCCAGTTGTGATTTAGTGTTTACTTATTTTCCTACTGTTTTTGTGAAGTAGTTACGAATCGCTTTTGACTCAATTGTATTAGCCTAGTAACTTAACTAAGCCTAGACCTATGCGCTTGTACTCTAGGCCTATTGTATAATTTGTTCTAATACCATGCAGTTAAAGATTTCCAGATAAATCACCGACTGGATAATAATTTCTTAACGACACGAACGATTTAATAAATTTGAATTTGAATTTTTAATGAAAATCAAAACCAGTGACCTATTTCATATATGCCCCTTAATCTGTATAATAGTACACACAATATTGTATAAAGCTTTATCCTTAACCAAAAAACGCAAATGATTCACCTTTTTTACGGTAGATACTTGTAGATGCATTGGGTTTTCTTTTAGGTCAAGAAGCGTTAAGTCTTCGTCAAACGGCCGCCCAAAACTTCCACCCACAATTCATTTCACCGGAAGGACTCATTCTTGAATCACTCGACTAGGCTGTGACTCGCTTAGGACAAATTCGTAATGATTATTTAATAACTCGGAAGTGACAAGTTAGTGACTCAGAAGTGTCGACGCAAGTTTCAATGAACTGAGTCATAGCTGAGTATTTTCTCAACTTATTTTTGATCCACTTTTTTTTCTCGGTGTAAACACGAACGCGAAACGAAGACCGTTTCATTAGTAAGGCTGATCGGTAAACTCTTTTTTAATTGACTTTAGCTACAATCAAGACCAGGGCGGGCAGATAATTTGAAATCGTGGAAACCCTATGGATTAACCAAGGTGTTAGTGGGTTAGAACGGAATGAGACCACTGGGGATACCGAGGATGACTTTGGATTATTCCCGTGGCGCGTGTCTACTCTGTAATGACTCGGTGAATTGTCATTTGAGCGTGAACATTCGCTGTGGTTAGTTCAACTTTTAATAAAGCAAATTTTGATTGTGTGGGGCAGCCTATACTACCAGAGTCTCGTATAGGCGGCTAGCTAACCTAGTGGTCCCGGTGTGATTTTACGGTATGGTTTCCGCTGGACGAAACGCCAAGGTCCCGTGTATAGTTAAATTACCCTTGACAGTTTGAATTCGAAATAATAGTAAGGCGTAGTATTTGTCTCATAGCACACTGCATGACGTATGTCCGTCTTTATTATGCCAGTCGGAGAAGAAAACACCTTTCCATTTCATTTCACGAATCACGGTTGGAAAGATAAAAATGCAATTGATCCGTTTCAGTTTCAATTGGAAATCGGAATTAAAGTCCCGGGGTCTGCATTAAAAAAAATATGATTTAATTGTAAAATTTTGATCATATTCAGAAATACCAAACTGCTGACACATATCCAATATCTTGAGCTCAGGGTAAAGATATACCATTTATAAAATAAAGTGTTTCTTTTTTTTAGTCTTATTTAGAGCCTGTCATTAGTTTTAAACATAATATTGTCTACTGAATCAGGCACTCCATATATCAAGAAAATTTGTTTCTGGTTTTTCAGATTTGTTGAAAATATAATCCGGTTTACAATCATATCCAAAGGCTCCGCAGTCGTTTTTAAATATATCACTTAATTCTAATAAGTCTTCTAGAGGAACTTGGCTATATGCCTCCTCCAGAACAAGCTGGCGATTCTTTAAACGTAATTTTCTTTCACCCGATACTCTCATTGCTCTTTCGAGCATTTGTACAATTCCCCAAGTTTCAATGTCTGATTCTTTGTTTCTGGTGAGAGGGTATTTCACGTCCTTTCCAATGAAACCCCTAAACTGAAAGCTTCTCCAGATTCGCCGTAACCCTTCAGCCCTAGTTATACATTGAGGTACACTGTCTATCAGGTAAAGTAATTGGCTTGAAGTATCTTTTATTGAGTCAAACTCTGAACTATGGCCGAGGTTTTTCATTGTGTTCATTAACAGCTCCGCGTGGGATATATTTAAATTATTTAATACATAAAAGGTATCGACTTGTAATGTTTCCAGCTTAGCAATTATGTCATATTGTATTTGACATGGCCTGCAGTGATCAGTTATAGGTTTAAAATGGCCGTCCCTGTTGTAACCAATTTTCTCTGTATGAATGAAATACTTCACCAATTCGGGAAAGGTTATATCATGGCCACATTCTAAACTTGTTTTGCTCGGAGTTTCTCTGAACATTTTAATTGCTGGTTGCATAAATTTCCAGTAAGGTGGGTTTATTTCAAATAACTTATTAGTGTAAGCAGAGAAGAGTCGAGCGTACGGATCCCGCACAATTATAAAGTTTGTTGAACTTTTAAGAACATAATGAATGTAATCAAACGAAATGCGGCTAAGATCGGGTAATGGAAGCAGCGGATTGTCCAGTTCATACGGACTGGAGGCATTAGACAACCCAGAGATTATTTGAAACAACCTTCTCCAAAATCTTGTCCCAACCTTTTCCACAGCACAATAAATAAATTTGTGTTTTATGTCATACAATAAATTTTTCTTCACTTCTGTTTCTGTGAACTTCCCAATCATTTCCTTTCCAGCACAATAGGACATCAGCGTTTTTCTCCTTTCTTCAAGCCTTTTACCAACAGACGATGAACCAAAGTCAAGATTATTCATCTGTAATAAATTATGGTCAAAATATGTATGACTACATAATATTATCACAATCTTGCAGCAGTGGTTGCCACGCTTACTAAAGTGTAAAGTGGCGTTTCTGATCAGTTATCCTGTTTGTTTCTCCTCGCCCCAATTCCTAATTTGACTTTGAGGTAAGCACTGAAAGGGTTATTTTTCTACGAACACCGGGCGGAAGATTGCTGACGTTAGTCTGGAATGTTAGTCCAAAACAAAATCGTATGGAGAATTTACACTAAACTAATCAATAGTAAGTAGGCTTAGAAAGTGGCGAAAACAAATCCCAATCAAAAACAGATTACAACTGCACTTACCAGTTTAAATTTGTGCGTAGAAACAGGTGATAAACGTCCTGAAATAGAACATTCAAAAAAAGGATTTGCAAGGATTCTCATTTGCTCGATTAGAACATAGATTGCCAAGCAACTCAACATAAGGCCCAAAACAGCTGTGTCTTTCCGGTGCGATTTACATTTAAGGGTACAGTTCAATTAAACCAATTTTCAGCATTTTTATCTGTAATAGACTTTAGAGCATTTAAAAAAGATGATTTACATTCGATATTTATTTACTTAAGTGATTTCATCGATTCGCAGTTAAAGTTGTTGCTGTGGAATTGTAATTCCCCAACGTATTGCCCCAATTCTCAAAAGGTTACCTTTATAAGAATAACCAATCAATCAGGGTTTAGGCGACATTGAGAATAACAGAAACTAAAAGGATTGTGGAATCCAGATCAGAGTAAGCGCTACTCATCTTTTTCTTCTTGTTGTGCATCGTCTTGGCGACGTTCTTCGAAAAAAGCCCAAGACTCCACCAAATGGAGTGCGATCAACATTAAACATATTATGATCGATTGGCGTCACAATTCCAAGGTAGCGGCGTTGATGTCATGCCATGTTTCTGGTCCATCGTGGACCACTTATAAATTGATATTAGTTGTTTTCTCCACTTGAGTAAAAATGACCTTGTCGATTGATCTCTACAGTTTTATTTTTTTAGATTTTTGATTACTGACATATACCATTATAAATTACGCCTGTGAATCAATTATTTATTCGATGCTGTCAATTTTATCAATACTATTATATATTATATGTTATTGACCAGGATGTTGGAAACTTTAAAGTGGGAGTAGCTATATCAGTGATGGTGTCCGAATAAAGACATGTATGCTTTTAGTTGTAAACAAAAATAAAGTTATATGACTATCCTACCTACACATCGCCGAATATTTGAATAGCTTTGTTGTTAGTTGCATAAAATATAAACTTACCCCAAGCAGCTTATAAAAATCGATAATAAACATAATGCTTAGTATATACAAACGTTGATTTTTCTACTTTATAATACAAAATAACCTCCTAGATAATTTGGATAATGTATAATAAAACCTCAAAATACATACACTTTGACAACCACGGCAAACGACTGGCTTTCAAATAGAATTTATCGAACCATTTTTATGGCTAATGTCCATTCTCCGTTAGTAAAAGAAAGAATTTGAGATTTATTATTTAACATTTAATTAACAAAGCAAAATCTCTCGATTTAGATTTAATCGGATCAAAAAGCTGTTTGACCCTGTTTATATCGTCTGCGTAATGCTAATAGCTTTGTAAATAACGATCAAAGAATTTAATTGCGAGTCCCTCAAACCAACACTGCCCTTATAAACAACTAGATTAAGCCAGTGTGTATAATTAAATTCATTCATTTTGTAAAGTAATCATATTTCTTCATTTGCAATAGAGCCAGATGGAACTAATACGACACATAATATGTCTGACATTTCAGTAATAGTTTTACGTACATGTAATTACTGTGGTAAAATAATAACCCCCAAGTGAGGTTGATAATTGGCTGAAATCGCAAACTGTAAACAGTTGAAATGAATCGTTTGGTCATACACGCAATATGAAATTTAAGATTGCGCTCTAACCAAAACTTCCCTTGTTCCAAACCGATGTTGGCCAAGAATGTCAGTGGTGCGGACTTAGGGTCTGTGTCTAGTCGTTCGGTGGGAAGAAAAACCGAAGGTCCATGTACACTTTGGCTTGTGGGTAAGGGAACTCCTGACAGTTGAGTAGGCAAAAACGCCGCTTTCCGGGAAAACTTTCCTTCATAGCACAATGGCTACTCGGTGAATTGCGCGTCTATTTTATCGGCAGTATTGCCCCTGCCCTTGAATCTTGTAAACACTACACAGTTATGAGACTTTTATATTATTCTTTCAAAATTGTTAGGATTGTTCACAGTAATTAAAATTGATTATTTGGTCATAAGGAGGTACCCATAGATTAGATCATAAATTACTTTCAAATAGATAAATCCTGTTCTTAATTAGTGAACTTAGTAAGATCTTCACTGGAGCATAAGGAAAACAACTATCATCAATATCATCGGTTATCTTTACACTCCTTCTGCAGTCTACAATATACATTGTTGGGATAAGTGATACAATTTCTGATAATTATTGTATTAGAATGTTTTCAACAGGCCAAAGGCATTATGTGACAGATTTAATTTGCAATTTATGTACCTAAAATTCACAATTCGACTTCTTTTCTGAAGTGCGCGGCGACTTAGTTTCATGACTTGTAGCTAGGTTCAGGTTATTTCGAAAATCGCGTACAAAATTTCTGCTATGCCAGATGAGTGGACAGCGGTACCCGACACTCTAAACCTTGATTCTTGAGTTACGGGACCACTTCCCATGGGAGACGAGTGGGGGGGCTAACAAAACGTCGATTCGACTTTCGCGTACATCAACTTTCGTGCATAAGTCGACCAACTTCAGATGTTAAGAAAAACACTGCTTAAAAAGAATACCGACCCCTCCTTTCTCCCTTAAGAACAACCCATTTACGCCCCCCTCCCCCCACACACATTTATTTTAGATCTATAGAGTAGACGTCAAGTTCCCATTTATGTTTCTTTTTTTTCAATAATTCGACCTTTTGTCTTAACAGTTAAACATTTGTCATTTTTCAAAGTAGGTTAATTTGCGACAAAGAAGCCATCAATTCATTTTATATACAATGTACGGGTCTGATTTTATTATTGGGTGGATCTTTAATTTTTGGTTAATAAACATAAAATATTTACAACTCACCATACAATGGCTGTTTATCAGTTTTTATCCTCAGAACATCATGCTCACCAACCAAAATATAAAGTACAGTACTGATCATAAAACCAAATATAATCCCACATACAGGATATCTATTGCAGTGAGTTATACTGCTAAACAGTTTTAATCTCAGCCCCATGATCTCTTTCTTTCTTCGATTAAACACTGTTCAGCTTGTTGGCTGTTTATTGATATATTCAAATTGGTATTTGTCACATGTGGCGTATATACCACTTTCATTATGGAACAATCAGGAGTCATTTTCAATACACTGAAAAACACTTGTGTTAAATTTCACAATTCAACACAAATTTGTCTAGAATTGACACAATACTGTGTGGAATTTTTAAATTTGTGTGTATCAGAACCATTAGTTGTCCTACCCTATAAATACTTAACGATTTACCTTACTTGGATACTTGGATACATGTTTATGTTTACTGGATTTAACATACCGCTTATTACATCTTTATTTATTCAAGGGTACATTTTTGATATTGATTGGGCCAAACCACCGAGGTTCCATGTATAGGCCTACATTGTCGCCCACGTAAAAGAACCTTTGTAATTCAAAGATGGCAATTCAGAAACACCATATCTGGCAAAGTTTCCCTCATAGCACACTGCATTATCCCAGTTGATGCAGACAACCGCCAATATATTTCTATGTAGGGGCATCATTTTTATTCTAGTAAAGATTTAGCCCATTTCTGCTATAATTTAAACAAAATAGGCTTTGGTAGACCTATTGAGTATGGATTAGCCCTATACTGCTTTTAAAATATTCCAATACAACTGATACAATTAACAAGCTGCTACTATGTGAGATACACCCAGATTTTGCAATAGAGAACAGAGAATATCAATAGGTCTCAATGTTTCTTTATTGCTTTCACAAGGTTTACGGATCGCTGAAAATCGATAGGGTTTGTTCTCTTATGGTCCCAATCAAGGAGATTTAACTTTCATGATCTGGAGACATGACGTCATTTTACCATTATGACGTAAATGATTATGACGATTGGAGCCAGTGACGCCCTTTTGGTTAACCCAAAATATTAGCATTATTGCTGTATTAAAATAGTCTACCGTGTTATTAGAATAATATGTAAGAGATGTTATATGAGAGGGTCCATCAGAGGCAAAGAAACCGGGAATAGTTGATAACACTCGAATCCGGTGAGATTTCCAACCAGGGTATAGGGGTGTGTGTGGCTATTTCCCCTCTCAGTGTAGGCCTATACAACGTCTACGTAGCCTACGTACATGCACCATTAAACAATTCTCCTTGTTCCTTGGCTTTAATCCCCAGCTGAGCAGAAAACCAGTTAACGCCCCTGGTGATCGATCGACTTATTGTATGACTGGTATCCAATTTACTATGAGTTTAGTTTTGATTTTAAAAAAAAAAATTGCAGTTTGCAACCATTTATGATCATAATTCCGCATTTAGCCCCGGATTAAAATAGTCAGGGGCGGACTATGTAGGCCTATCTTTGTGCCCTCGGACCAACTGGTTTCGTTGGACCCCATCGCGGTGAACAATAAGTGACATGACTAGTTTGATTCACTATTCCTGCACCTTACATTTTTTTTCTTAGATTTAGGCCATTATTAATTCAGTGGATACGAAGATGAATTTTAGTTATACTGAAACAAAAAATAGGCTAGGCCTATGTCAAATTATCTTTTTCCAAGTCTGGCGGTTAGAGGCCCAGTCTGTCCCTGTCACCTGTAGTACCTGTAGTGCCATTTCCACCAGACACGGATTAAGCGTGGTGCTGACCAGACTGTACCGCCAAGAGCCCCATGTTAAAGGAGTCCCCCAAATAAGTTCTAAAAAGCAATTATGATTTGATTATAAATCTATCAACCATGGATACAAATTGCATTTGTGAGTGCAAAGGACAATGACCAGATGCCCGTTTTTAATGTTGACATTTTAAGCCAAGGGACCTATGCAAGCTTCCACTAATTTCCACGCATGGCTTACAGGTTTGATTCCATAATCGGATGAATATTTTCATAATATTCAAAATACTTGTTTTTCTTTACTGGTATGTCGTTTAGTTCATAATTGTTGCTAACTATGTCCATATTCACATCTTCAGGACGAAATCACGATCCCTCAACCAAGTGTCAATGTATGTTATGCCATGGCTCAGATATACGTAAAATCCATTCTAGCAAGTGCCGCCCCCTTCCCACTAAAGTGCCCTAATTTTGACCGGTTTTAATCCAACTGAATACAAGCAGGGAGTTTATCTTGCATTGGTATTTTGGGGGAGAGGGGGAGCAGAAATGGCCAATAAAATTCCCGATTAGATTCCTCGGGGTCTCAGCAGGCAAAGCCGGTCGCCATAATTCGCTGCCCTGGCAAAATTTCCCTAACAGCACACTGTACAGCCCAATCGGAGCAGAACAGTATAGGGCGTTAAACGTCTTATGGCATTGTCTAGATTTAGTTTCTGGAGAATTAGATTCTTTTTTAGTATCAGTTTTCTGTCCCACGTCAAATATTTATTCTCTACAGAGAATTTACACTATGTGAGCTTGACCGGGAATAAAATGTTTTAAGACATACCAATACCTATTACATGAGTTTTAGTTCTTCTGGGTCTTTTTAAATATACCCGTGTCATGAGCTATGCTTTTTTTTTTTTTTTTTTTTTTTTTTTTTACCTAAATTCCAAAACTATATAACAAAGTTGGAGCTTACAGCTTTTAAGACGAGTAACCAAGTATATTTAGTTTTTCAATTTTATTTATTTTGCAAGAAATAGAAATACAAATTTAATTTAATAGGAAATCACTAGATGTTGCCTTATACCTACTTGCTCTAAGTTAATATCCCCTGTTGTAATTTTGTACGTCTTCTACACAATTTAGATACAAGATGGTCGAATCCATAGACTAACTAACCCCGACATTTTATTGGTCCTCTTTTTTCAGATTTATATTTACGCTCAAAGTGACAACGTCAGAATTATACATGGTATATACAAGTATTGGAGATTTCATTTTATTGCATGAAATTTAGAAAATAGACCAAAGTATGGCTACCCATAAGCGGGCTCGAAAACTGTTTTTGCTCCCTGGGAACCCTTATTTCCTACATCACTGGTTGAAATGAAGAGAAAGAGTTCAGATGGTCTTTTAGGTAAACATATACGCAAAGACCTTACTTCCGTTGTACCGTGATATCAACTTAAATAGCATGTTCTGTGTATGTGCTTACAGGCTTGTATGCATCAGTGAATAAGGCTCTGGCTCGCCAACTAAGTCTCGGGTTCACTCACGAAACTAGCTAAGTTTCCTCTTGTCAATGGTGCTGGACGGAGTTCCTGACAATCAACAGTGTTTAGTCGTTCGGGTGGAACAAAAGCCGAGATCCCGTTGACAGTTAAATTTGAAATCAGATTAATAATAAGAGAGCTCCCTAGCGCCATAGTCCGGGCAAACTTTCCCTCATAGCACACTACAAGGGGTATGTCCGTGGCCATTAGTCCAGTGTTAAGCCCCATTTCATTTTATTTTCGGAAGTCACGTTGTCATTTAGAATGCGATATAAGAGTAGGCCATAGCGCCGCTGTCCGGGTAAAATTTCCCTCATAGCACACTGTATAGCATATGCCCGTTTTCATTAGCTCAGTCGGGGAAGAACAGTAGGACCATAAACCCCATTTCATGTTCAAAACTGCATTCTAGTGATCATCGTAGTCGATCGTCAGTGATGTTGAATTACAATGTTGAGACAGAAGAAACAATGACATCTGTATTAATGCTTTATAATTTTATTGTAATAACTTAAATTAAACTTTTACATCTACATAAGAAATAAATCAACAATTAATCTGTTTTGATAAGTACCAAGTCCTTTTGCGAGTTACTGCTTTCGTCGGCGAAGTTGGCGCATTTGTTTTTGTGGCTGTAAAAGAACAAATAAAATATAATAACATAAAACGCAGACGCATCCGAATTTAAGAAACAAAAGTACCGGAAGTCGATAATGTTTGATGCAATGGGACGTTCGTCACATATCGCCTCTGTCTTCTACACTCTATAAAACCTATAAATGAACAATTCAGATTCGTAATGTTGCCTCTATTGCTACTTTTCAAACTAAATTAAATACTTTTTTACTCAGTGATCATTTTAATAGGTAGATAATCCAGAATAATTCTAATTACATATTATTGTATGTGAATAACATTTTTATATTCTATATTAAAGTTCAAATTATTTCTGATGTGATGGACAATCTAGATCAATATAATGAATTACGTACCTTCTCCATCACAGTCGTTTCATTATTTTGGGCCCAGATAGTTGGCATATACTGAAATAGAAAATAAACCAATTTTCTTGAAATAAGATTAATTAATCTGAACAACGTTGAAACTTTTAAGGCAATATTTGTGATAATTTTCTAAATTAGTACTTCATTGGCAATGGATAGAGTCAGATTCTAGGAATTCTGGGTTCTAGTGAGATAAAAAAAAAAACCCAACAAAAATCGAAGATAGCCCAATGGCAGATTAAACACTTTAAGTGAACACTGATAGATGTCCACTGTATCCATTAAACTGACATCAAAATGCCAAATAAGCTAGACGATATCCTTGCTCACATCTGGACAGTTTACATAGCCAACATATTTTGTTGTAGGTCAACGTTTTGTATCTTCACCGTGTATTCGCAAACTAAGCTAATAATCATTTAATACACGAGGAACTATTATATATATTATAGGAACACATCAGGTAAAATACAGTTATATTTGTTGCAAATTCGACCATCGAAGTAAAAAAACGGTAGAACTTACATCATTGTAAACCTGAGCAATGGACTTTCTACTTGGGATATATTCATTCATCATTTCTTTAAGTTCTTCTCCATATCCTGCTACATCCATCAAAGACGACATTGGTGTGGGGAGATACAACTCAGCCTTGAGTACACCATTCTGTGGGTCGTAAACAGTTACATTGGATTTGAAGATGCATCCAACTTTTTCTCTGTACTGGGATATTTCAACTTCAACGATTTCTTTCAACAAACTGAATAATTCTCTTAATTTTTGTTCAACATTTTCTTCGATCTTCCAATAGTTGTAAGCCCATACACCCTGTAATCAGACATCAATGATATTATATATCTTACATTTCA